TAAAATATTATTCATTAAAATTTTTTATTACATGTGAAAATGGTAATATTGTAGGTATATTGGATTAAATCAAATACATTGTTATTATTATTATTTTTAATTCTAGGAGGTCCTGCTTTTAAAAAATGAGTTCTCTTAAAAATGAGTTTATATGAGCTGAACATTTACATTAGGTAGATACACTCCTTCGAGAGATCAATTTTGGGAGAATAGAAGGGCTGTGTATGCACAGGGAGACAGCTCGGGGGGCAGGAGTGCATGGGAGGGAAGGACACAGGGAAGAGGTAACTATCGGGAGGAAGTGGGAGGGGGAGCTGTTGCATTGTGGGAAATTATAGTCAATGTCATGAGACAAAGTGTGAGCTGCTGTAGGGAAAGTGAATTTGCTCTGTAAACTTTCACCCAAATCACAATTTAAAAATAAATCAATAAAAGAGTTTATGTGAATGGGGGAGAGACGAGGCAGAAAAGGGAGTGGTTGCACGTTTCAAAGAATGTCATCGAGGTCACTGAATACATGGAGAGACAGCTGGATTGGTAGATGTTTTGCTGTGTCTATTCTTCACAACAACAAAATAAATGTTAAAATGGGTTCCGTGGTGAAATGTAAGCTAGGAATAACGTGAGGCTTGGGGCCCGTCTGGCAAAGGGGGAGAGTGATCCCACACATTGTCTTTCCCAGAGCCTCTCGGATACGGTGAACTGCAACATGATGTCGGTGGTCCAGGTGAGGCTGCGTCAGAGCCGGGGGTCTAAGGTCACCCTGAACTCGGAGGGCGGCCCCCAGCACTGGCAAAGAGGCAGCTAGAGGGGTGGGGGTGAATCGGGTTGAGGACCGAGCCCGTGAGAGGATTGCAAAGAGAAAGACACGCTCCCACCCTTCTCCCTAGATGACCCGGATTATCCTGCCCCAAATGGTCTCCAGGTAAGAGCCAGCTTCTTTCCCTCCAAACTCCAGCTGCCCCGCCCACGTTTCCAATTCTTCCGGGTCCCTCTGACTGACGCGTCTCAATTAGGGCTCCGCCTAAGGGGTGGAGGTGGGGAAACCGCCGGGACCCTTTCCTCCCCCTGACAGCCACGACCTTACAACCGACACTACGTCCTCCAGGCGCCGAGGCCTGATCCTCAACCTCTCCTCTGTGGCTGGGAACCAACCCCACCCACTCTTTGCAGTCTACGCAGCCACTAAGGTACCCAGACCCCACACACCCAAGGCCAGGGCTGGGCTGCCCAGACCTGCAATCTATCCCGCAGCATTGAAGGCTGTAGCGGAAAAGTCTTTGAATAGGGGGCTTAGGTGCCACTTGAGTCTGGGGCTATTCAGAGGTCACAGCCCAGTGGGAATCGTGGCAACAACAGCCTGGAAGAAGCAGACTAGACAGACGCCCGGAGGTTGGAAGAAAGCCAGTGAATTAAGATTGGGACTGCGCAGGAGAGCGGGGGTGTGGGAACAGAGGAGGGTTTAGAACGAGTAGGTATTCAGATGGGGAGTTTGGCCGAGCCTGGAGGTCTTCTGGAACCTGCAAGTGTTCTCAAACAGGGTTAGGGTTGGGTGGCAACGTCCGTAGGGCGCAGGGCTCAGTTTGGGCGCAGCTCTGCGTCCTGGAGTCCCCCCTCTCTCTTTCCTTCCACAGGCCTTTGTGCGAAACTTCTCCTTGGCGGTGGCCGCAGAGTACTTCTCCGAAGGGGTGACCGTGCAGGTGCGGGACTCAGAAAGGGCGTGGCGCTCAGAACAGGAGGGGGGTGCCCTCCTAGGGGTTTAGACTCTGTGGAAACCTCGTGGAGCAGGGGCGGGGACGCAGGCGCAGGGGGCGGGGTCTCCTAGAGGACCCGGACTCTGAACAGCTTCAGTGGGGAAGCGACCAAGGGGCGTGGCCTCACGAGAGGCGAGGCGAACCTCAGGGGCGTGGTCTCAGGGGGCGGAGCCTCAGGACGGAAGTTCGGAGACCGTGGTGGGATCGCAGTGAGTGGACGGGATTCCAGGAGTGGGGCGGAGTCTCAGGCTTGGGGAGGGGGAGGGCCCTTTTCTTTGACCTCCCTCCTTCCTGCAGACGGTGAGCCCCTGTTTGGTCTCCACAAATATAAACAATCATCCCAAAACCGGATTGCTGGTGAAGAGTCCCAAGGACTGGGCTGAGCAGGCAGTAAACACCCTTGGCCTTTCTTCCCACATCTCTGGGTGCCTCAGTCACCATGTGCAGGTGCCTTCACAAGCCGTCATGGGCAGAGGGCTGGGGGGACATTTCCTGATCTAAGTCCACGGGTCCTCAGAAGGGGAGAAAGACCTCACCTTGGGCTGGGGCTAGAAGAGAAGGGCTGGAACGCCCGAGAGCGAGGCAGAGATTGATTCCTGGTGCTTGTCTTTCCCCAGATTTGGTTGCTGTCTTTCCTGCCCACTTGGTTTATTTGCAGTCGCTGGGGACTCAAGCTTATGCGTCTGTTGCTGTCTTCGTTTATACCAAAGATAAGCCCTTGAGGAAGACCCAAGGAAGGCGTGGCCACTTGGCTGTCCACTCCTCTTTCCAAAATCCCGGGCCAGGGCTGCTGATCATGTGGACAGAGATGTGCACACATTGGAATAAATGGGAGGGCCGAGCAATGGAATAAAATTGGACCCCCGAACTAAAATCTGATGGAGTCTTTAAGTATAGCACCAAGACAACTACTTAGCAATTTGATGTGGGGAACATACATATGGAGCTCTTGTGGCATAGTGGGTAAGTCATTTGGCTGCCAACCAAAAGGTCTGTGGGTCAAACCCACCAGCTGCACCACGGCGAATAGGCAATCTACTGTAAAGATTTACAGCCTTGGATACCCAATAGGGGTCGTTATAAGTTGGACTCCACTAGATGGCAGTATGTTTGGTTTGGTTTTATATATGTATATATATAAGAATTCTGGTGGCACTGTGGTTAAAGCATGGGGCTGATAACTAAAAGACTGGCTGATCAAACCTACCTCTTCTGCTCTTAGAGAGAAAGATGAAGCAGTTTGCTTCCGTAAAGATTTACAGCCTTGAAAACCCTCTGGGGCAGTTCTACTCTGTCCTCTAGGGGCGCTGTGAGTCGGAATCAACTCCATGGTAGTGGGTGTGGTTTGGGCTTTGCTTCCACAAAGATTGACAGCCTTGGAAACCCTGTGGTGCAGTTCCACTCTGTCCTCTAGGGGCGCTATGAGTCAGAATCAACTCCATTGCAGTGGGTGTGGTTTGGGCTTTGCTTCTGTAAAGATTGACAGCCTTGGAAACCCTCTGAGACAGTTCTGCTCTGTCCTCTAGGGGCGCTGTGAGTGGGCATGGATTTAAGGGCAGTGGGTTTGGTTTTTGGTTTTTGGACCACCCCTATTGGGTAGAATTCTTGCCTTCTGTGTGAGAGACCTGGATTTGATTCCTAGGCAGTGCAGCCACCACTCATCTATCACTGGAGGCTTACGTGTTGCTATGAGGCTGTAAAGATTTCAAGGGGAGCTTCCAGGCTAAGAGTGATGAGGAAGAAAGGGCTGGCCATCTTTTTTCTGAAAATCCGACAGTGAAAACCCTATGGATCATAACTGTCTGATCTGCAGGTGATCATGGGATGGTGCCAGGTTAGACAGCATTTAGTTCCGTTGTGCATGGGGGGTTATGTAAGTTGAGCAGTTAATTCCACAGCAGCCAACAACAGCAATGAGGTGGGTATGGCTTCTGCGTGTCTTACCTCGGCCTGGGCAAAAAGCCGTTAAACAATTCCCCAGGGAGGCCCAGAGAGGGGCAGCTTCCTGCTCAGAGTCACACAGCCCTTAGGCTCCAAGAGTCCTGCATCCCCACCTTTTGAGTTCAAACGTCCATGAGGTTCCAAACCCAGCCCCAACCCTGACCCCTGGATGCCTTCTCCTTCCGACTTCTCAGAAAGAAAGAAAAAAAAAAAAATCACCAGGAAGCATCCGTCATGCCCTGTCCAGCAAACCGGAGGGGCAAGGGTCACTGACCTTAACGTCTCCGTGAGGACCAGGATCCCACAGAGCCAGGGGTGAGAGGCTGGCCTTTTTCCCACCCTACGACTTTCCTGTGTCAACCCAGGAGGGCGCCCTGGATGCCGCCGCCCTGCCCCCCACCTCCTTCCTCTCTTGACATGGCTTCCCGGCTGAGGATGGATGGCAGGGCGAGCCAAGGTGGAGCTACCAAGCCCGGAAAAGAGCCAGAGGCACTTTGGGGTTGCCAAGATGAAGGGCCCATGCTCAGAGCGGCCAAGGCCCTCCCCGGAGTCACACAGCCCAGGGACTCGGTGCAAATGGGGGTGGGTGGCCTGGCCGACTGCCCCCCCCCTTCCCGAGCCTCCCTCAGCCCTCAAGAGTTGGACCCCAGCCCGGCCTTGAGAAGCCCTTGTCCCTGCCCCCGTCCTTCCTCCCCCCACACACTCGGGACTCTGCCCTTCCTTGTGTAGCATAGAACCTCTTTATTCTAAGTATCGTACATTCCTTAATATATTGGATTGGGGCCAGACCTTGAGGTGAGAGGGAAGGGGGGCTGGCATACTTCTGTGGACCCACCCTTCCAGATAGCACCCCACCCCACCAGGCTGGGGGAGAGGGCCGCTGGGAACTGGCTATGTGCCCTTAGTCAAGTCCTTGTGCCCTCTGAGCTCAGTTTCCCTTAAGAGTTTGGAGGTGGGTGAGAAAACACCAAAGGATCTTTCCATTCCAGGGGTCTGTGGTGCCCGGAGAGAAGGCAGGGGTGGGGTGTACGGGAGGATGGTTTATCAGCAGCAAAGATGTGAGGCACTGAGGTGGGGGGGGCTGGGGGAGTCTCAGAGCTGGGCCCGGGGTCGTGGTAGGGATGGAGGTCGAGGCCGGGGCAGACAGGCCAGCCTGGGCCTGGACAGCCGGGAGAGGGGCAGGCGGCCCAGGAGGAGCGGCAGGCCGAGGCAGAAAGGAGGGCGGGGCACGGGGATGTCTGCGAAAAAGGCCCGGTCCCTAGGGGTCGCCAGGGCCACTCCCTCGGACAGTTCCAGGTCCCGGGCTACTGCCAGGATCTCGTGGCGGGCAGCGGCGTTGCGAAGGCCCCGGATGTCCAGGAGGGCCGCCACGTGCTTCTGCCTGGGGACAGAGGAATGGGCAGTGCATAGAGGTCCTCGGCGACCACGCCCCTCACACCAGACCCCGCCCCTCGCACTAGAGCCCTCCACATCTCTGCTTTCACTCCAGACCCCTCCCCTCGCACCGGACCCCGCCCCTCGTACCAGACCCCCCCCTCCCCTCGCACCAGACCCCTCCCGTCACACCCGAGCCCCCGATGTCTCTGCAGTCCCGCCAGCTCCCTCCAGACCCCTCCCCTCACACCAGACCCCGCCCCTCGCACTAGAGCCCTCCACATCTATGCTTTCACACCAGCCCCCTCCAGACCCCTTCCCCAGAACCAGACCCCTCCCCTCGCACCAGCCCCCTCCAGACTCCTCCCCTAGCACCAGCCCCCTCATCTTTGCCTTCACACTAGCCCCTTCCAGACCCCTCCCCTCGCACCACACACTTCCTCTTGCACCAGCCCCCTGCAGACCCTTCCCCTCCCATCAGACCCCTCCCCTCGCATCAGCCCCCTCCACATCTCTGCCTTCACATCAACCCCCAGCAGATCCCTCCCCTAACACCAACCCCTTCCAGACCCCTCCCCTAGCACCGCCCCTTCCACATCTCAGCCTTCACACCAACCCCCAGCTCTGCGTCCCCCTCGCTTACAAACAGCCATTTCCAAATCCTAACACTCACAGTCGATTCCAGAACCCTCACCTCCAAACCCAACACGGAATCTTCATCCTCATCCCTCCTCCTGAATTTCCTCTCTGGTGCCCTCACACCTGTTGAAGCTCCAGACTCTACACCAAACCCTTAATCTCATCTTCACAATCATCACTCAAATCTAGCTCAGAAAAGTTCACCCCTATTCCCATGCTCACTCTCACTTCACCTGGACCCCAAGTCCAGGTCTGGAACCTTCTCCACCACTACAGTTCCAGAACCCTCATCCAAAACTCAACTTGCAATCTCCCAACCTAGACCCCATTCCAGAACGTTCATCCCCAAATTTGGTCTTGGAACAATTAGGTTACCCCCAATCCAGTCCCAGAATCATGCTGATCCCAAAGTCCACCCCAGAACTAAAACTGGGGACCCTCATTCCAACCAGCAACTCCATGCTGAAAACCAAACTCTATAACCCTGAACCCAGCATTCTGGAACCTTCCCTTGACCCTCCCCTCCCAACTCAGCTCCAAATTCACTGTCATCAAATCATTTCCAACTCATAGCAACTCCCATTGGGTTTCCAAGGCTGCAAATCTTTAGGGAAGCAAATTTGCCTCATCTTTCTTCCATGGAGCAGCTTGTGGATTCGAACCACCAACCTTTTGGTTAACAGCCACATGCCTTCACCACTACACCACCAGAACTCCTTCAGTTCTAGAACACTGATCCAAACAAAATTCAGCTCTGGAACTACCACCCTATTTCAACTCAAGATCCTGAACGCAACCTTCATTTCCAGAACTTTCATTCCAAAGAGCTCTGGCCTATTTCAACTCAAGATCCTGAACGCAACCTTCATTTCCAGAACTTTCATTCCAAAGAGCTCTGGAGCCTTTGCCACCACCTTCAACCCAGCTCAGGGTCTTCACCTGCCCACATCCCAGTTTGGAATCCCCACCACCACTGCTGATCCAAAATACTCATCCAAAATGCAGCTCAAGAACTTCCCACCTCGAGAACAGAAGGGCAGTGTGTGCACAGGGAGACAGCTCAGGGGGCAGGAGTGCATGGGAGGGAAGGACACAGGGAAGAGGTAACTATGGGGAGGAAGTAGAAAGGGAGCTGCTGCATTGTGGGAAATTGCAGTCAATGTCATGAGACAAAGTGTATGTGAGCTGCTGTATGGAAAGTGAATTTGCTCTGTAAACTTTCACCCAAATCACAATTTAAAAAAATAATAATGATCATAATAAATAAAAAGAAAGTGAATTTACTCTGTAAATTTTCACCCAAATCACAGTAAAAAAAAAAAAAAAATTAGAACCTCCCACCTCAACCCAGCTCCAAACTATGGCCCCTGAAGCCAGCTTTGGAACTGCTTCTCTCAGTCCAACTTGAGAACTCTCAGCCCTGGTTTTAGGTCCTTGATCTAAGACGCAAGTTCAGAAACTCCAACCCACCAGGAATGCTGGAATCTGAGTGATGCCAGGACTCGGTGCCTACCAAGGACATGAGTCCTAGACCCCACAACCAGAACCCTCAGTCCTGAATCAGTCCAAGACCTTCATAGGCAACGCCAAGCCCTAACCTCTAGAGCCTAAACCTTGGCCATGCTTCATTTTCTGGGTGGGGTTTTGTCTCTCTGGGCACAGGACATGCAGCAGGAAAGGACTGTCACCATGGCTACCACCCCACCCAGCACTGTGGCTGGTGGTCAGGTGCACCAGTTTTCCAGCCAGCCTGCTCCCAGGGTTCAAGTCCCAGCATTGCCACTTGCTAGATGTGACATTCAAGGATTGAAAAAAACAAAAACACCAGACCCACTGCCATGGAGTTGACTCTGACTCAGTGACCCTACGGAACAGACTAGAAGGGTTTCCAAGGCTGTAACTTTTATGGGAGCAGACTGCCTCATCTTTCTCTTTCAGAGCAGCTGGTGGATTCAAACCGCCGACCTTAGGTTAGCAGCCAAGCAGTTACCCACTAGGCCAACAAAAGCTACTTCATTTCTGTGTACTCAGATGGTAACAGTACCTCACAGGGCTATGGGAGGAAAATAAATCGGTATGTGCAGTTCTCAGAACACTGTTGAGTCTTATTTATATTTAACAACTATATTATGTAAAATAGGAGCTCTGGTGAAGCAGTGCCTAAGGCACTTGACTGCTAACCAGAAGGCTGGCGGTTCAAACCTCCCAGCCACTCCTTGGAAGGAAGATTGGGCAATCTACTTCCATAGAGATACCACCTTGGAAACTCAAGGAGGGGTTGCTATGAGTCTAATTGACTTGACAGCAGTGAGTTAGGTTTGGTTTGATTATCTAAAATAATTCCTCTTATACCGTGAGTTGCCCTCACACAGACTCATGGTGAGCCCGTGTGTGTTAGAGAACTGTGCAGAGAAGGGTCTTTAAAGCAGCCAATCACCAGGCCTTTCACCACCCCTCTGGGTGGACTTGAACCTCCAACTTTTAGGTTGGGAGCAGAGCACCATTAACTGTTTTCACCATCCATGGGCAATTTTTATTATACATCTCATAGAGTGGGCATGATGCTCATAGACCTGGTTTGACCTAAAGACTCCATAAGTGAGAGCTAGTTTTGATATAAGAAGCCCGGTGACACAGTGGTTAAGTGCTCAGTTGCTAACCAAAGGTGGGTGGTTTGAACCCACCAGCTGCTCCTTGGGTGAAAGATGTCTTGTTTCCGTAAAGATCACCATTTGGAAACCTTGTGGTGCAGTTCCACTCTGTCCTGTAGGGGCGCTGTGAGTCGGAATGGGCTAGACAGCAGTGGGTTTAGTTTGGGCTTTGCTTCCACAAAGATTGACAGCCTTGGAAACCCTATGGTGCATTTCCACTCTGTCCTCTAGGAGTGCTGTGAGTCGGAGTAGACCAGACAGCAGTGGGTTTGTTTTGGGCTTTGCTTTCATAAGGATGACCACCAGGGAAACCCTGTGGTGCAGTTCCACTCTGTCCTCTAGGGGCGCTGTGAGTCGGAATGGACTAGACAGCAGTGGGTCTGGTTTGGACTTTGCTTCCACAAAGATTGACAGCCTTGGAAACCCTGTGGTGCGGTAATACTCTGTCCTCTAGGGTCTCCATGAGCGGGAATGCGCTGGACTGCAGCGGGTTTGGCTTGAGGTCGGTTTTGTTCCTGCTGTCCATGTTGATGATGATAGTGATGACAACTCTCCCAATAATCCTATGAAGAGAGTATCCTCATGAAACAGGCGAGGAAACTGAGGCTTGGCGAGGGTCACACAGAAAGGAAGTGGTCCGCAGGCTTGGAACGGCGCCGGGCCTGCCCCTGGCGAGTGCGTGTGCGCCCGCGTGCCCGTGCGCGTCCCCGTGTCCTCCAAGCTCCCCTGCGGGGCCGGCCCTTCCTGCCTCCGGGCGGCCCGCGCCCCCCTGCCCTGGGCTTCCTGCCACCGCCTGTTTGTTTGCAGCCCTGGTGGCGGTGGCGGCAGCGGCGGCGGCAGGAGAAGGAGGGAAATCGTATTAATAATGCCCTGGTTCCAGCAGGAAACGGCCGTCAGACACGCTCGCCGCCTCCCTCCCTCGCCCGGAGGCAGGAAACGCAGGGACGGATGCCAAGGCCCGCCGGAGACCTTGGCCAGGCGGCGGGGCGGGCCGAGGGCCGAGGGGCAAGGCCGCCAGCCCGCCTGCCCACCTGCGGGGCTCTTACCTGATGTCTGGGTAGTCCCGAACCAGCACCCCCACCTCCACCTGGATGCTAGGCGTGTCTTCCAGCTGCAAGACTTCGGCTAAATGGGGCACCACAGCGTCCAGCCAAGAGGCCTGCGACTCCTGCAAGGGAGGGCCCAGGGGTCACACGCTCTCCCCAGTGCCCCTTCCAAAACCACTCCGTCCCAAGACCCGGCCTCAGGGCAATTCCCTTCAGTTGGCTTTAGTTTCCGCCTCTGTAATAGGGAGAACTGATCGTAGCCTTTGGAAATCGGAAGAACAATCCGGAGTCCCAGCTGGCAGATACTTTGGGCTCCTACACATCCCTCAAAACCCCTTCCAAGTCTGCACAACGTTATACCATTGGGTAAACAGCGAGGTGTTCAAAGTTCCAAAAGCGCCACGCTAAAAGCTCCTGAAACAGACTGAGTGAGGCCTTTTCAGCCTTGCTGAATACCATTGGGTACTGCTGTTTCCTGCAGGAGCTCTGGTAGCATAGTGCCTAAGGCACTTGAGTGCTAACCAGAAGGCTGGCGGTTCAAGCCCACCAGCCACTCCTGGGAAGGAAGCTTGGGTAAGGTCGCTTGACAACACATAACAACAACAAGATTCCTGCGTTTTTAAATTCTTAGATTTGGAAACATGGTCCTAGGATTCTGTAGCATTCAAGCTTCTATTTGTGCTACTAAAAATAGTCCGTGGGTATGGAGTGCTCTGTGCCAGGTAGGCCCTAAGCACTTTCTGGGAATTAGCACATTTAATCCCAAAAACCAAGCACAGTGCCGTGGGGTGAGCTCAGAGTCCCGGTTCTCTGGGCTGTAATCTTTACAGAAACCACCAGCCTTTTCTTCCGCAGCACCACTGGGTGGGTTCCAACCGCTTGTACGTTCTTGTTGTTGTTGTTGTTGTGTGCCGTCGAGTCGGCCCTGACTCATAGAGACTCTTTGGGTTGCCGAGGCAGTATCACTACGGAAGTAGATTGCCCAATTTTCCTTCCGAGGAGTGGCTGGTGGGTTTGAACCGCCAGCCTTCTGGTTAGCAGTCAAATGCCTTAGGCACTATGCTACCAGAGCTCCCATGGAATAATGTTATGTGCCGTGGAGTCGGCCCCGACTCATAGCGACCCCTCCTTGGGTTTCCGAGGCAGTATCACTACGGAAGTAGATTGCCCAATTTTCCTTCCGAGGAGTGGCTGATGGGTTTGAACCGCCAGCCTTCTGGTTAACAGTCAAGTGCTTTAGCCACTATGCTACGTTCTTAGTCCTGCCCAAACCGCTTTTGCTACCCAGGAAACTTACAACAATGGGGAAGACCTGTTATTATCCTAATTTTACGGCTGAGGAAACGGAAGCACCCAGGTGCACTCGCGAAAGTGGGTTTATTCGCGCCAAGAACGGGCCTGGGAGAATTACGAGTTGGTATTGTTATCTTGGAGGCCGACTGTTTGGAAGTTGGGCGAAGGGCTTATTCGGAGCCCCGACTTTAGAGTCCGGGGATCCCCGGAGGCTGAAGTTTCCCCGCCCCGCCCGGCACTGACCAGCCGCCGGAACAGCCTCTGCAGCTGCGCCGAGTCCTCGCGTAGCCTCCCGGCCACGCGGCTGCGGGTCCGCGCCGAGCGGCAGCGCAGGCGCCCGCGGAGCAGGGGCCGCACGTACTCGACCAGCGCCCGCCGGTGCAACTCCGCCACCAGTGCCTGCGGGAGGGAGGGGAGGGGACAGACGGGTGGGCTGAGCCGCAGAGCGCCGCCCCCGGTGCCCCCCGCACCCCGCTTCCTCATTGCCCTCCCGGCCCCACGCTCGCTGGCTCAGGGGCCGACCCTGGCCTACTGGGTGGTGGCCTCCCTGGCCCGCTGTGATCAGACCGAGGGCACCCCTCTCCAATCTCCGGAGCCCCTCCTCCTGGCTCTGCACCCCAGTTCCTGCAGAACCCCGCAGGGTGCCACCCCCGCCCCGCGCGCGCGCCCAGAGCAGCCGGTCTCTGCTTTGAGGCATAGCACCCCCTCCCGGAGGCAGGCGCACCTGGTACGGCTCGTCCTGCATCCTGCGCAACGCCAGCGCCTGGGCACCCAGCGTGCCCACGATGCCGTCCAGGGCCTCGGGGCTGCTCAGCCACTTCCTCCGCATGAGCTTGTTGAAGTGGGGCTGCGGGGACAGGGGCACGGGTCACAGCTCTCCTTCCTTCCACCCTCTGTCTTCACTTTTTCAACACAAGACTCCCCAAGTCCTGCCCGATCCTTGGTCAGCCAGGGCTAGGTGGTGCTGGCGATGCCGACAGCCCCCTGCCTGCTCTCCCGGGCCTCTCCGTTGAGGGAGGAGACAGACCTGGGCCCAGAGTGGGCAGGGCTGCGGTGGGGATGCCCAGGAGGCTGGGGGAGCCCCTAGGGAGCGCCTGACGCAGCACAGAGAATCAGGGAGGGCTTCCTGGAAGAGGACACAGCTAAGCTGAGACCTGGAGGACAAAAGGGGCGGGGAAGGGAGTGGCTTCGGCTAAGGGAACAGCCTGTGTACAAGACCAAAGGAGCGTTAGGGTGGCTGGCAAGACCCGCTGATTCCTGGAGCTCAGCACAAAATGAGAAGGGGATCATTTTTCAAACAATTTTAAGAACTCCAAGACAGCACCAAGAGTCCACGAACCTAAGGAGGGTGGGGGACTTCTAAGAGGCCCAAGTCACACTCCTGTCAGGCCCATTCTGGCCTCTGGGGGCTGGGGGCTGGCCGAGTGGAAAGGAGGCTGGGCAGGTGGGCAGGGCCAGGTCACAAAGATGAGGGGCCTTCAGTGAGGGGCCTGGGCTCTCTCCCCGAGCCACTGAGGACCATGGTGCAGTTCTGAGCAAGGGAGAGAAGGGGTCCGTCAGGTGTGAGCTTCACAGAGATGGGAGGGGCTGGGGCAGGACCTGGGCGCTGGGTGTGAGGAGGGGTCTAGGTGGCAGAAGTCACAGGATGTCGGGGGGGGGGGAGAGGAGTCCGGGCAAGACCCTGGAGTCAGAATGGGCAGCAGGTCTGTTCCTGAGATGGAGGCAGGGAGGAAGGTGGGGTGCTGCAGTCAGGGTGGACACAGAGTGCAAGAGGCCTGCAGACACCCGGGCCTGGTGTCCACAGGGGTCTGTCGCAGGTCCCCATGCACTCAGACCCAGGACCTCTTTTCCTCTCATCCTAGCAACAGCCCAGTCTCTGAACCTCCAAAAGTAGCTTTGTGGAAAAGCAGGTCAGGCAGCAACCCACATAATGCCGGTCCCCGGGTGGTTCTTACAGGATGGGGTTCAACCTGCCTAACACTGCCGTGCACACATACCCATACACACTCCCATCAACCAACGGAGACACTCCTCCAGTTACAGGCTTACACACACCTGCTTGTGTCTCTGAATTTTGAGGATATATATACATAAATAAGGAGCCCTGGTGATGCACCGATAAAGGCATTCACCTGCTAACCAAAAGGTCGCCGGTTCAAACCCACCAGCTGCTCCATGGGAGAAAGATGAGGCAGTCTGCTTCTGTAAAGATTTACAGCCTTGGAAACCCCATGGGGCTGCTCTGTCCTCTAAGGGCACTGTGAGTTGGAATCAACTCAAGGTCAACAGGTTTTCACACCCACACTTAAATATACATACACATACACGTTTATATACACATACGCACACGTCTGTATCTATGCACACACTTACACTGTTGTTACCTGTCGACCCCCAACTTACGGGGACCCCATGTGTGCAGAGTAAAACCGTAACCTCTCAGAAGCAGATCGCCACACCTGTCTTCCAAGGGTGGGTTTGAACCACCAACCTTTTGGCTCATGGTCGAGCACTTAACCATTTGCACTACCAAGGGCCTCTTCTTCTGTGCCTCTCTGATTGTCCAGGTCTCTCTTTTTCTGATGTCCCTCCGTCTAACTGTCTCCGTGTCCCGGTCTCTCAGTCCCTTTCCTTTCCTTCCTCTCGCCTCTACTTTCCTTCCTCAGTCTCCTTATTTCCGTCTGTCTGTCTCTCAAAACTCGTACGGCCCTCGCTGCCATCGAGCGGATCCTGACTCGTGGCAAAGCCACGGGTTATACACAGTAGACCTGCTTCACAGGATGTTCTGGGAGGTAATCTTTACAGAAGCAGACTGCCAGGTCTTTCTTTGGCAGGATCACTGGGTGGGTTCGAACCACCAACCTTTAGGTTACTAGTTGAGCGCAAACCATCTGTACCACTCAGCCATCTAAAATGTACATAAACCAAACCAAAGCTGTTAGCCGTTGAGTCAATTCTGACTCAGAGACCCTTTAGGACAGAGCAGAACCATCCCATAGGGTTTCCGAGGCTGCACATCTTTACAGAAAAGACTGCCACACCTTTTCCCCAAGGAGCAGCAGCTGGTGGGTTTAAACCTCTGACTTTCCAGTTAGCAGATGAGTGCTTAACAGTTGCACCACTAGGACTCCTTAAAACATAAACCAAAAGAAACCAAACTCACTGCCATCAACTTGGATCTGACTCATAGCTACCCCTCCTTGGGTTTCCGAGGCAGTATCACTATGGAAGTAGCTTGCCCAACCTTCCTTCCGAGGAGTGGCTGGTGGTTCTGGTTAGCAGTCAAATGCCTTAAGCACTATGCCACCAGAGCTCCTAAAACATATGTTGTTGTTGTTGTTATATGCCATCAAGTTGGACCCGACTCATAATGACCCCTCCTTGGGTTTCCGAGGCAGTATTACCACGGAAGTAGATTGCCCCATCTTCCTTCTGAGGAGTGGCTGGTTGGTTTGAACCGCCAGCCTTCTGGTTAGCAATCAAGTGCCTTAGGCATTACGCTACCAGAGCTCCCCCTAAAACATATGTTGTTGTTGTTGTTGTTTGCCGTTGAGTTGGCCCCGACTCATAGCGACCCCTCCTTGGGTTTCCGAGGCAGTATCACTACGGAAGTAGGATTGCCCAACCTTCCTTCTGAGCAGTGGCTGGTGGGTTTGAACCGCCAGCCTTCTGGTTAGCAGTCAAGTGCCTTAGCCACTATGCTACCCGAGCTCTCTTGGAAACTCTGTGGTGCAGTTCCATTCTGTCCTCTAGGGGCCCTGTGAGTCAGAATCGACTCCACAACAGTGGGTTTGGTTTGGGCTTTGCTCAGAACTGCACCATTTACACTGTTGTTACCTGTCGACCCCCAACTTACGGGGACCCCCATGTGTGCAGAGTAAAACCGTAACCTCTCAGAAGCAGATGGCCACACCTGTCTTCCAAGGGTGGGTTTGAACCACCAACCTTTTGGCTCATGGTCGAGCACTTAACCTAAAACATATACAGTGGTTTATTGTATGTGCTGCGTATATATTCATATATATAACAGAGCTCATAGGGGGCAGAGTTATGGAGACTTCCTAGACATCCAAACACCTCCTGGGACTGAGTTATGGGGCTTGAAGGCTCAGAACCATCGTCTCATGGGACAACGAGGTCAACTGACATGACTTAGTTCACAAAGATAATGTGCTCCATCCTAGTGTTCTGAGAAGCATCTGGGGTCTTAAAAGCTTGTGCGCAGCCATCCAAGTTACAACTATTGGCCTCTTCCCACCTGGAGCAAAAGGGAGTGAAGAAAACCAAAGGCTCAAGAGAGAACTTAGTCCACCAGACGGATGGCCTCTAAACCACAGCCTCCTCCAGCCTGAGACCAGAAGCACTAGATGGTGCCCGGCTACCACTGCTAACTGTTCTGACCAGGAACACAACAGAAGGTCCTAGATAAAATGGGAGAAAAATGTAGAACAAAATTCAAATTCATAAAAACAGCCCAGATTCACCGAACTGATGGAGACTGGAGGAACCCCCAAGACTGTAGCCCTAAGACACCCTTTCAGCCTGGAAATGAAAGCCACTCCCAGAGGTCACCTTTCAACCGAATAAAACACTGGCCTAAAAAGTTAAACAGTAACACCCGTGAAGAATGTGCTCTTTAGAACAATCAACTCTATGAGATCAAAAAGGCCAAAGCAAAGATGAGACGGCAGGGCGGGCGGGCCGGGAAACTGGGGGGGTGGGGAACAGGGCAGGCAGCGGGGAAGCGGGGAGAGTGCTGACACACTACAAGGCCAGCAACAAAGTCAGGGAACAATCCGCATAGGAACTGTTGAATGGAATCTATCTACTGTGTAAACTTTCACCTAAAACCCAATAAAGTAGTACAACAACAAATACGAGAATAAAAACCAAACCCACTGCCATCAAGTCAGTTCTGACTCACAGTGACCCTCCTTGGGTTTCCGAGCCTGTAAATCTTTACAGAAGCACACTGCCTCATCTTTCTCCCTCAGAGTGGCTGAAGGGCTTGGACCAACAATCTTTTGGTTAGCAGTCAAATGCCTTAGGCACTGTGTCACCAGTGGTTTGTAAATGAAGCGCATAGCAAGACCCTTTGAACCAAACCAGTTCATTCCAGATTGACCTCTGCTGAGAATTTGCATGTCCACCTCAGATAGACTGAATCAGAATCTCCATTTCAACAAAATTCCCAGGTGAGTCTTCCAGGTCCCCAGGTGAGTTATGGGCACCCAAGCATCACATGGGCATGCTATGAAAATGGAGATTCAGTCTGTCAGGTGGACATGCACATTCTCAGCAGGAGATCGAACCAGAATGAACCGGTTCCAAGCCCTGGATCACAGACTCCGGCCAGACTGCCTGGGCTCTGCCACCTGCTGACTCAGTTTCCTCATCTGTAAAGTGGAGATGGTAAGAAGACCCACCTCAAGGCACTGCGTGATGAATGGGCTGAAGCTCCTAGCCCCTTGCCCGGCACCACGAGGCTCGGGATGCACTGGTTGTTGCAATGAAGTGTGTACATTTACGAAGGTGACAGTGGCCCGCACCTGGCCTAAGCACCTTACAACCCAAACCCCACAGCACCCTCTCAGCCACCTGAGAAGCCAGGAATCCTCAAACCCATTTTGCTGATGAGCACAAAGACCTCGAGAGAACAAATTTATCCAAGGTAATCCCATTTGGAACCAAATAGGCTTGGAACCAGGAGCTCTGGTGGTGTAGCACCTAAGGCACTTGGCTGCTAACCAGAAGGCTGATGGTTCAAACCCACCAGCCACTCCCCGGAAGGAAGATGGGGCAATCTACCTCCATAGTGATACCACCTCGGAAACCCAAGGAGGAGTTTTTGCCACCCAGGGACTCCTCCATTCAGTCATTCAACAAACACTCTGGGAGCCCCTCCTGTGGGTGCTGGCCTGGGCAGAGTGCTGGGGACATGGCAGAGAGCAAGACAATCTCTCAGTCATGAGACAGCACCCCCTTTAAGTGCTTTCAAGCGACTCACAGCACCCCTAGAGGACAGAGTGGAACTGCACGACAGGGTTTCCAAGGCTGTCAATCTTTACAGAAGCAAAGCCCAAACCAAACCCACTGCCAGAGTCAATTCCAACTCACAGCGCCCCCAGAGGACAGAGTGGAACTGCTCCACAGGGTTTCCAAGGCTGTCAATCTTTACAGAAGCAAAGCCCACCAAACCCACTGCTGTGGAGTCGATTCCGACTCACAGAACCCCTAGAGGACAGAGTGGAACTGCCCCATGGGGCTTCCAAGGCCGTCAATATTTACTGACTGACTTGTATTGCATTGTTGTTGTTGTTGTTATGTGCCGTCGAGTCAGACCTGACTCATAGTGACCCCTCCTTGGGTTTCCGAGGCAGTATCACTACGGAAGTAGGATTGCCCAACCTTCCTTCCGAGGAGTGGCTAGTGGGTTTGAACCGCCAGCCGTCTGGTTAACAGTCAAGTGCCTTAGCCACTATGCTACCAGAGCTCCTGTAAATCTTTACAGAAGTAAATGGTCTCATCTTCCTCTCATGGAGCAACTGGTGGGTTTGAACCATCCACTTTCTGGTTAGCAGCACAATGCCACACCCACTGAACCACCAAAGCTCCTTAATCTTTGTGGAAGCAAAGCTCAAACCAAACTCACTACTGGCCAATCAACTCTGACTCATAATGACTCAATAGGACAGAGTAGAACTGCCCCATGGGGTTTCCAAGACTGTCAGTCTACCAAGACTCCTTTAGGACAGCCAAGGGAACTAAAACACTGACCTGATATCTGATGACATTAAGGAATTATTCTTCCCTGTTTTTGTGTGTGTGTGTGTGTGTGTGTGTTAGGTAAAGGAGCCTGGTGGTGCAGTGGTTAAAGCGTTGGGCTGATAACCAGAAGGTCGGTGGTTTGAACCCACCAGCCGCTCTGTGGCAGAAAGATGAGGCAGTCTGCTTCCGTAAAGATTACAGCCTTGGAAACCCTCTGGGGAAGTTCTACTCTGTCCTTTAGGGGCTCTATGAGTCAGAATCAGCTCAAGGGCAGTGGGTTTGGTTTTTGGTTTTGTGTTAGGAATGAACATGGCATTGTGGTTGTATGAATTATATCAAAGCGGAGTCCTGGGGCTGGAGCAAACGGTTTGCACTCAGCTGCTAAGCGAATGGAGGTCTGAGCCCTCCCTGCAGTTCTGGGGAAGAAAGGTCTGGCAATCTACTTGCCTAAAGATCACAGCCAAGAAAAGCCGCTGGGGCAGCTCTACTCGGCAACACATGGCATCACCATGAGTCAGAACTGACTGAACAGCAATGGGCTTTGAACTGCAGGTTTTTAATAAACGTTTTGTTGTGGTTCAAGTGAAAGTTTACAACGCAAACTAATTTCCCATTCAACAATTTATACATGTGACAGCGGTCGCAATGCCTTCAATGTGTCAGCACCCTCCCCACTTCCACCCTCAGCTCCCTACTTCCATTCACCCAGCTTTTCGGCCCCTTCCTGCCTCCTGAATTTCACTTTTTGGGCAAACGCTGCCCTCTGGTCTCGTAGAGTTGAATGTTCTGAGGAGCACATTCCTCACAGAGATTATTGTTTACTTTTAGAGACCTGTCTATCATTTAGGTGTTTTCTGGACCTATCATTTAGGTCCAGGTTTGAGACACATCTAAGGGCTACAGTCTTGGGGGCTCCTCCGGTCTCTATTAGACCATGAATTTTGTTCTACAGTTTTCACACTCTCTGTCTGGGGCCTTCTATTGCAATGCTGATCAGAATGAGTGGTGGTGGTAGGCGGGCACCATCTAGTTCTTCTGATCTCAGAGCATCGGAGGCTGGGGTTTGCATGGTCCATTAGACCTTGGGACTAATTATTTCCTTGAGCTTTTAGTTTTCTTCATTTTTCTTTGCTCCGACCGGGAAAAGACCAATAGTTATATCTTAGATGGCTGCCCACAAGCTTTTAGCATATCAGACGTTACTCACCAAAGCAGGATGTAGAACATTGTCTGTCCCCTGAGACTATGGTCCTGAGCCCTCAAGCCTAGTTACTTGGTCCCACCAGGTGTTCGGTTTTGGCTAAGAAGTATTCCTGATTGTGTTCCCTGCACGTCCTGTTACAGACATGGGCACGTGTGCAGCACAGACACATATGTTTGTAGGAACAGCTGCTGCCAAACCCATATATGCACGTGGTTGTAGGGATGTTTGGTTTTTTATCTTTTGGAGATCCAGGCTGAAGTGTTGATGGATGAAGTGAGAGGATGTCGGGAATCCGTTTAAAATAACCCAGGGTGTGGGATGGGAGAGGAGAGAGACAAAACAAGCTTGGCCATGGGTTGAGACTTGGAGAAGCTGAGTGATGGGTTCACCAAGGGTCATTCTGTCATTCTGCCTGCTTCGGTGTATGTTTGAAATTTTCCATAATAAAACCTTATTTGAAAAACATTCCAAAAATCCCTGTCCTTGAGGGGCTAACATTCCAGTGGGAAAAGACGGATCATAACAAAAATAAATAAGGAAAAGATAGCGTGAGAAGCCAGAGTAAGTGCTTTGGAGGCCAATACAGCAGGAAGTGAGAAGGGGGGCTTGGGGGGCTTCTATTGTAATTAAAGAGGTCAGGAAGGTTGTCACTGAGAAGGTGACATTGCAGGAAAGACTTGAAGGAGGTGAGAGAGGGAGCACAGTGATCTCTGGGAAAGGAGCATGTCAGGCAGAGGGCAAAGGCAGCGCAAAGGTCCTGGGGCAGGAACGAGGCAGGTTCCAGCAGCAGCAGGGGTGGGCCACAGGGCTGGAATAGAATGAGCAAGAGGACACTGGAACCAATAAAAAAACAAAAAAAAAAACCCAACCCACTGCCATCAAGTCAGTTCCAACTCATACTGACCCCCAGTGGTTTTCTGAGGAAGTAGATTGCCCCATCTTCCTTCCACAGAGTGGCTAACCGACAACCTTGTGTTTAGCAGTCAAAGGCCTTAGGCACTACACCTCCAGAGCTCCTTTGGAGGAGAGGAGGTCAGAGGGAAGGGGACAGACAGCACAGGGCCTGGAGGGTGAGGACGCTCTCTGCCGTCATCTGAAGTGGGCTGGGAGTTCTGGGAAGGCGCCAGGCAGAGGAAGGGCAGAAGGTGATGTGCGATGCGAGCTGAGCGTTTAGGACACATCTCAGTCTCGTTCCTTGGGCTACCACGACTCTCACCCACTCTGGACCTAGCTCCAGAGATGGGTGGACGGGTCTTGAGGGCCTGACACAGCCCAGGCCAGGATCTAGGGGACCCCAGAGAGAGGGGATTCCACCCAAACCCCAGGCCCTCCTCCAGCTGGGCCTCTTGGCCGTCCCCTCACCCACTTCCTCCCACCTCTTCCTTCCTGAGCCCCCCATGCCCCCCCAAGCAGCCCAGACAGGGCCGCAGCCCTCCTCCCGCCTGCTTCCCGAACACTGAGTCACGGGCTGCAGGGAGCTCCGGGCAGGGGTGCCACCCTGCCCTGGCGCTGCTGCCCGCTTTCTGTCTGTCTCACCTGCAGCTCTTGGAACAGCAGGTCTGCCAGGACTCGGTGGCACAGCCGGGTCACGCGGGCCAGAGCGCTGGCCGCTGCTTCCCGGGCTGGTTCACTTTCAGGGGGCCCCACTCGGGCCAGGCGTTCGGCCAGGGTCCTGTGGGAACAGTGGAGCCCACAGTCAAGGAACATCGACCCGGTATCTGAGGAGCTAGAGGATGTCTGGTAGCAAGGAGCTCTGGTAGCATAGTGGCTAAGACACTTGACTGCTAATCAGAAGGCAGGCGGTTCAAACCCACCAGCCACTCCTTGGAAGGAAAATAAGGGCAATCTACTTCCGTAGTGATACTACCTCGGAAACCCAAGGAGGGGTCGCTATGAATTGGGTATGACTCCGTGGTATATAACAACAGAGGATGTCTGGGAGTTTAGGGTATGTTGGGGGAGAGGAATGGGGTTCTCTGGGTTTCTGTTTCTCTTGGTCCCTTTCTGGGTGACCGTGTGGAGACCTAAGGCTCACTCAAAACTGTAATGATTTTTGTATTCTCAGAGTCCAAGACCTCTATAAACCCTAATGCTTCCAATTTCCTGTAACAGTAACAACCTGTGAAGTTCCATCGCTGAAGGCAGAGCAGCTTGTTCCGAGCCCTACCAAGGGCCATCTGGCATTTCCTGCCTGAATGACTGCCTTGGGGTCCTGGACCTGGCAGGTGCACCGGGCTGGGGGGTGGGGAGTGTCCCTCCAACCTCCAGGCTTATGGGGGGATGACAAGTGTGCACAGTTATTCTCTGAAAAGGAGCAGAGTCAAATACCCACCCATCTGGGTAAATAAATGCTGGTGCATCTGAACAGTGAAATGCAGCTCAATGAGGAAAAAGGAATGTGGGAACCAATGAATACGAAAAGATTCCCAAGCTGTTAAAGTGGGAAAGGGCAGAAGAGTGTATGATATTCCACCATTTGTATTCCTTAAAAAAGAAGAAAAAGGAATAATACGTATGCGCAATATATAATAACAACATAATATACTCATAATAACAAATATATATGTAAAATACATTGTACACAAATGTATTTATAATATAAGGGAGCCCTGGTGGCCCAGCACCTAAGGCATTTGACTGCTAACCAGAAGGTTGGAGGTTCAAACCCACCAACTCCTGGGAAGGAAGACAGGGCAATCTAGTTCTGTAAAGATTTACTGCCTCGGAAACCCAGTGGAGGTCGCTATGAGGCAGAATCAACTCAATGGCAGTGACTTTTGGTGGCCCAGTGGTTAAAGTGCTTGGCTGCCAACCAAAAGGTTGGTGGTTCAAACCCACTAGTGGCTCCATGGGGAAAAAGACTTGGCGATTTGCTCCTGTAAAGATTCCAGAACCAAAACCCATTGCTTTCAAGTTGCTTCCAATTCACAGCAACCCCATAAGACAGGGCAGAACTGTCCCATAGTGTTTCCAAGGTTGTAATCTTTAGGGAGCTGCAGGTATGGTTCAAATTGCCAACTTTTCAGTTGAGTGCTTAACCACTGTGCCACCAGAGCCCCTTTCTGTAAATATTCCAGCCTAGAAAACCCTGTAGGGCAGTTCAACCCTGTCCTATAGCATTGTTCTGACTCAATGGTACCCAACAACACACCTAATATACATGTATGTGTACTGCAAATGCACTTGTATTTACATATATACATATAAATCTGTTTACATATATACACAAATCTGTATATAACACACAGAAACAAACCCACTGCCCTCAAGCTGATTCCCATTGATGGTAACCTCATAGGACAGAGTAGAAATTGCCCCATAGGGTTTCCAAGGCTATAATTTTTTTTTTTTT